TTGAATTAATTCCATACCAATATATTTTAATAAGTTGAACTATATTTAATTGAATGAAGTTTTTTTTTTCTTACGTAAATTTTAACAAGTAGATATTTATATAGATAAGTTTTTTGAATCTACATTTTGTGGGTGGTATTCATTTCAAAGATAATGACAAAAACTAGAGTTGGCTCCACATTTAGAATCTTTTATCTTTTGAAAATTTTGATTGAATTAAAAAGTTGGGTGGAAAGGAGATTCTAGCTTTCACATGTAATCATTACGCTCCTTTGTTGGGTATAGGTTGGAGTTTACATAAATTGACAATGTACAAACTAAGAAGCTGATTCAAATTAGATCCAAGAATAATTAGTAATTTCGATTTAGGTCAATCAAGTAAGTGGCTCTATTGTTGACTTAGTTGGATAACTTGTTTGTTGAATGAATAATGCATCCAACTTGTTTGTTGAATGAATAATGCATCCATGTGGGCACATGTCGTGTTTTATGATTGAATGACGTGTACAACGTTATGTTTACACTATGATATATATGTTACGACATGTTATAAAATATGTTGCATTATCTACTATAATATAATATGATTATACTATGATGCATGAATCTTCATGTGTCATACCATGTGAACTAAGTTAATAGGAATAATCTATATTTATGAGACTTTAGAAAGCCATGTATGAGATTATGAAAGTTATGAAAAGTAACATATATGTATGTCTCATAGTAATGATATGATATGGAAAGAATGGAGTTATGCCTTTCATACGATTTAAAGCTATTAGAGCCTCTTGTATTTTTGTATGTCACGTGCATGAGAATACTTATTGTGATTAATACGGACACATACATTACGATATTATGCCTATCATGATATTATGTGGGCTCCTTTCCCTGGGTGACTTTTGACGACGTGAACATGCATTAACTAAAGGGAAGGCCTAGGGGATGCATACCGTCTAGTGGATCCATCATGCGCACATGTGAGGACCGTGTATAGAGAAGTACTACACACTCAATTTTCGCTAGAGATGCAAAGCAAAGTTCAAAGCTATGAAATGTTTTTAATGAAAGGATAGGTCTAACCATGATGGCTTGTGTATGCATTTTCCAACCTCAACAATGGGTTAATTACTGAGTATTTCTTAAAATACTCAATCCCCGTACTACTCTTATTGTAATGACCCTATATTTCTACTTACCTAGTGTCGCTACCGTCGTCATAGCTTAATCATTTCTATGTGGAAATAAATGTTTAAACTTAAAACATAAGATTCATCTTAAAACACTGCAATAAACTTACGTATTCCCGAGAACATCTTTAAAATGACACAACAAAATACTAAATCAAATAAATAAACATTAGAAGTAAACACCCTATTCTAACCTAACACCCTATTCTAGTCTTAGTTTAAGAAAATAAATATAACCATCCTAAGCATGTGTCATGTTCTCGAGTTGCGATATTGATGGCTATCCTAATGGGCAACTTGGATATGTACTTAATTTCCATGCACACGGTCCACACGTGCGAGTATGAACCCACCAGTCGGTTCGCACACCTATTTTCAGGTAAAGATAAGACACCCTTATAAGGATGACGATGACGTTGTGGAAGCCATAGAATTGAAGTTAGGGTAGTTGTATTTATGTTTAAATTGTAGCCATTAGGGTAGATTAAGGCGTTTCCATTACTTTGAACTTCGTTTATGTTATTTCATTGATTTTTACTTTTTTTTACGAATGTTTAAGTCCATGGCATCATTTATAAAATGTTTTAAATTTATTCCGCCCATAATAGACATGTTATGCATGTAGTGACTTCTATATATATATATATATATATATATATATATATATATATATTTAAAAAAAAGGGATAATTACAACTATATGATAATAAAGAGTGATATACTAAATCACACCTTTACATCTCGGACACTATTATGGTCATAACAGTGAAATTGCAATATCTAAGACGTGATTTTGAAACTCTACTCATGACGAATGACGAATCAATTGCTGACTTTTTGTCAAGAGAAATGGCAATAGTCAGTCAGATGCGTACCTATGGAGAGAAAATTTCATATGAAACAATTGTTGCAAAGGTGTGAAGCTTGACTCCAAAGTTTAACCATGTGGTGGCTGCCATAGAAGAAGCTAAGGATCTATCCATACTCTCTGTTGATGAATTGATGGGCTTGCTTCAAGCTCATGAGGCAAGAATCAATAGAGCATTAGAAAGGAACGAAGAAAAGGCACTACAAGTGAAGGAGACAACCAACAACGAAAACAACGAAAGAGAAAATATTCATTTAGCAGGTAGAAGTGGTGGAAGAGGAGAATTTTGCAGCTTCCATGGTGGTCGTGATAACAGGGGTAGATGGAGGAATGATGTACAAAGACAATTCAATGAACAAAAGAATGTCATACAATGTTACCATTGTAGAAGGTATGGGCACACAAAATCTGATTGTTGTTATAAAAATCAATGAATAAATTTTGCAGCAGAGAATGAAGAAGAAGAAGAAAAGCTGTTTATGGCGTGCATGGATACTAATTCGAAAAAAGTTGACTTATGGTTTGTTGATAGCAGATGCTCGAACCATATGACAGGCACCAAATCCTTATTCAAAGAGCTTGATGAGACGTAAAAAAATTAAGGTGCAACTTGGAAATACAAAAGAGATGAAGTTGAAGGAAAAGGTACAGTGAAAGTCGAAACCAAACATGGTAAGTAAAACAATTAGATAATGTTCAATTTGTACCTGATTTAAGGTACAATTTATTGAGTGTTGGACAATAGATGACGAGAGGACATTCCGTTCTATTTGATGACAACACATGTGTTATTACACATAAGAATCAGGTCATTAAGTTCAAATTGTCATGACTTCAAATAAGATGTTTCCACTAGATGTTTCTAACATGGAGGATTTTTCTCTTACTGCTAGCACGAAAGATGACTCAACATTATGGCATCTCAGATATGGACATCTTCATATGAACGGCCTGAAAATACTCAGGGATAAAGGTATGGTTTTTGGATTACCAAGAACTGACTCAACTAATTTATGTGAAGGATGCATTTATGGCAAGCAGACTAGGAAGTCATTTCCAGTTGGAAAAGCTAAAAGAGCTTCACATTGTCTAGAACTAATTCATGCCGATTTATGTGGGCCACTACAAACGACGTCCTTGGGTGGGAGTATATACTTTTTACTATTCATTGATGATTATAGTCACATGAGTTGGGTTTACTTCCTACAACATAAGTTAGAAACTTTTCAGAAGTTCAATATTTTTAAAGCTATGGTGGAGAACCAAAGTGGCTGTCACATTAAAGTTCTTCGCATAGACACAGGTGGTGAGTTCATATCTAAAGAGTTCAATCTGTTTTGTGAAGAAGAGGGCATCCAAAGGGAGTTAACAACTTCCTACACTCCAGAATAAAATGGAATCGCTGAACGAAAAAATCGGACTATTGTGGAGATGGCAAGGAGTATGTTACAGGCAAGGAGATTTCCAAACCAATTTTGGGTAGAAGCTGTATCAACATCTGTTTATCTATTAAACTTCCCACCAACAAGGGTTGTTATGAATCGAACTCCTTATGAAACATGACATGGAAGGAAACCATCTGTAAGTCATTTACGAATCTTTGGTTGTATTGCTTATGCTTTGAAACATCCTCAAATTCGTCAAAAGCTTGATGAAAAATCTGAAAAATGCATTTTCATTGGCTATTGTACTCCATCAAAGGTATATAAATTATACAACCCTTAGTCAAAAGATTTTAGTTAGAAGGGATGTAATATTTAATGAAAACGGGAGTTGGGATTGGAATAAAGTGTTAATGAAAGAGGGATTTATTGAATGGTAGATGAGATGATTGAATTATGAAGAGCAAAAATGCTCCATATTTATAGAGAGAATACAAAAGATATTCAGGAAATCTACCTAAAAATCTGGTAACAAACCAGTAAACAAATCAAAATAAAATCTAATCAAATCAAAACTAAATCAAATAAAAAACTAGATCTAACTCCTAACGGAGATTTAATTAGATACTAACTGACAGCAATCTAAACAAATACGTGATCTTTAACACTCCTCCTTGTTTAGATGCTGTGAACTCCAAGCTTTTTTCTGAACACCCATCTTGCTCCAATTATTTTTTTGTTTAGAGGTCGATCAACCAACTCCCAGATTTTGTTTTTCTCGATCACTGAAAGCTCCTCCTCGGACAGGTGCATCATCAACCAAAGCATCTTGTCGTTCATCTTTAGATTCTTCTAATATGCCAACAAAGATGCCAACTTCTGACTTTTTGTCAAGCTTATCACGCTTGACCTGTGGAATGTAAATGAAGCAAAGATACCCAAATACTCTAACGAACTTTAAAGAAGGTTTGTAACCATACCAAACTTCAAATGGTGTCGGGTCCTTCACAACTTTTGTTGAAATTCGATTTTGCAAGCACATAATAGTGTTTGCTGCTTTTCCCCAAAAACGTTTTGGAAGATCCTTCTCATGAAGCATGCATCTCGTCATCTCCATTATGAATCTATTCCTCCTGACACTGACGCCATTCTGTTGAGGAGTGTATGGTGTTGTCAATTGATGTTCAATTCTAGCCTCTTTACAAAACCTATTAAAAGTTCCTGAAGTGTACTCTTTGCCATTATCTGATCTTACAGTCTGAATCAAGCATGCACCTTCATTCTCAACTTTGGCTTTGAATTTCCAAAATACACCCGCAACTTCTGAGTGTTCACCATTGCCAATCCTCACTCTCTTATCTTCGGTGTCTCTTAATTCCTCAAAAGACTCCTTGTCATATGTCATGTGATTTGTGCACCCACTGTCAATCAACTAGCTCTCGCTTGATTCTTTGCTTGAGGAAGAAGTGACCATAAACAATTGATCTTCTTCTTCTTCTTCTTCTTGATCAACGACCTGTGCATCTACTTCTTTCACTAGATCTTTGGCTTTGCAGATCACAGCTGCATGTCCAAGTTGATTGCATTTGGAGCAGAAGGCGTTAGGTCTTCTCCAACACTTGTATGGTGGATGACCTTTCTTCTCACAATGGCGGCAAGGTGGATAGGATTTTTTGAAACCTCCTCCTTTTGTCTTTTGATAATTGGCAGATGAATCTCCATACGTCAATTGATTTTTGAAATTTTTGTTGTTTTTATACCTGCGGCTGTCTTGATGCTTAACAAGTAAGGCACCTTCAATCACCCCTTCTTGTCTCATAGACCTCCTTTGCTCTTGCGCTTGTAAAGCATTTAAGAGCTCTGTAAGAGAAATCTTTGACAAGTCTTTGGTGTTCTCTAGAGTCGTAATGGTGGCTTCAAACTTCTCTGGAAGAGTGACTAGCAGCTTTTCAACTATCCTGGAATCATTTAATACAGAACCAAGCAATCTCACATTGTTGGCGATGCTGAGAAGTCTGTCAGAGTACTCTTTTACTAACTCTGACTCCTTCATCTTCTGCAACTTGAAATCCCTGATCAAATTCAGAACTTTCATTCCACGAATCCTCTCATCTCCTTCATATTCAGCCTTGAGATAATCCCAGATTTCTTTTGCTGTTTTGAGGGACATTATTCGCATGAAGATCATTTCAGATACAACGGCAAATAGGCAAGCTTTTGCCTTTGATTTCCTTGTCTTCTTTTCCTTCTGTAATTTGATTTGTGCTACAGTAGGATTTGCTGGAAGCGGAGGGACCTCGTAATCCTCTTCTATTGCTTCCCAAAGATCCAAGACCTCCAAATAAGTCTCCATACGAACTGCCCACATTTGATAATTGTCTCCATCGAAGACTGGTGGTGCAACAGCTGAAAAACTTGATTCTCCCATTTTGATCTCACAGATCCCTTAAGAAGATAGCTCTGATACCAATTGTTAGTGAAAGAGAGATTTATTGAATGGTAGATGAGATGATTGAATTATGAAGAGCAAAAATGCTCCATATTTATACAGAAAATCTACCTAAAAATCTGGTAACAAACCAGTAAACAAATCAAAATAAAATCTAATCAAATCAAAACTAAATCAAATAAAAAACTAGATCTAACTCCTAACGGAGATTTAATTAGATACTAACTGACAGCAATCTAAACAAATACGTGATCTTTAACATAAAGAATAGGAGCAGCAAAAGATTATGGTTGAAGTTTCCCCAAATGAAGAGACAAGGGTCAACTCCAATGCATCCACTGCAACACAAAATGTGTCAAATTCATCATCTTCAGCATCACTGAACAACAATTATTCTTTTGAAGAATTTTCGGATGAGACACCTCCAAGGAAGTATAAATCTTTAGCTAACATATATGCATCATGTCAATTTGCTCTTACTGTTTCAGACCCTATGAATTATGAAAAAGCAACTGAAAAAGAAGACCGGAAGAAAGCCATGACAGTAGAGATGCAGTCCGTTAAGAAAAATGGAACATGATGAAAAAGCAACTAAAAAAGAAGAGCAGAAGAAAGCCATGACAGTAGAGATGCAGTCCGTTAAGGAAAATGTAACATGGGATATGGTTGACTTGCCAAACGAAAAGTTCTATGGAGATTTACATGGGACATATAGCCCATTGCGGTGGTCTGTTTATCAGTTTGATGTAGATTTACAATAAGAAGTTTATGTAACACCGCCAGAGGGATTCATAAAGGAAGACAAAGAAACAAAGGTATACAAAGACAGACATTGTACGGGTTAAAGAAGACATACTTACGAAGGCCTTGTCAAAAGAAAAGCTCTGTACTTACATCTGCAACTTTGAATCAAGGGGGAGTGTTGAGATATGATTCAAAGTACTCAAAATGAAGATATGATTTAAAGTAGTTGAGATATGATTCAAATATTCAACCTACCCAGATTTTAGGAGATTGGTAATTTATCTACATTTCCATATTTTACCATTTTTGTTCTAATGTATAAGCCTATAAATAATAGAATGGTGTAATTGTTTTAAGTATAGAGTCAAAAATCAATAATAAAGCACAGCTTTATCTATTTCACCTGTTTTATTTTTTCATCTCTTTTGCTATCCCTTTTTCCAACACTAACCAGAGTCTGACTCGATGGACTTCGTCTTCCTCACTCGATTTCAGGCGATTTTTGACGGTATTTTTTTCTCTCCTTCTAGAGCCATTTTCTGACGTTCTTACCAGTATTTTTCCTGTATTGTGACCTCGTGCTCTATCTGTCTTCCATCCCAGTGTGTGACAAAGTCCTGTAATTGTCTATACCCATAGATCCAGCTACCTCTTACTTTACCAACCTATAGATCTTGCCGACGACGAAGTAAACTACCTATTCGTTCACCGTCCTTGGATTAGAATAGTAAACTACTTGTTATATTATCTTTTCAAGCTAAGATAATAAACTACCTATTCATTCCATTTCTTGTCATATTACCTTTTCAGGCTAAGATAATAAACTACCTATTCATTCCATTTCTCGGGTATAATAATATAAGACCATGGCTCTTTATTGGGCATAACCATAGTTACCTCAATAGTATACCCTCTATGACTTTTGAGATCTACTCTGGTTGACAATTGAACTTTGTGTATCAAGTAGACTTTAACCCCTCTTGGCTAATCCACGAATAAGGACTACGCCCTAATTGTCCCTATGACATACCTAGTCAACCCAATGTTCTGCTGAATCCAAATCTAGGTTCTAGGACCCGTACAACATAAAATAGCAGTTCATGATCTAACATAATCATAACGTGTATTCTAGAGCACATAGCATCATCCAATAGCAATACTAGACATAAACGGGTTCCCTTAACCTAAATTATGAATTTATAAACGTGAATATAAATACATCATGCTCAACATGCTTGGACGGCAAGACATAATAAATAAACCAAGGTAGGGTGAAAAACTTATAAATATATTAACTCTATCATAGTTCTCAAATATGCACTTGTGAAGCTTTAAAATGGAATATCGTACTAAACCTCAAACCAAGATGTTTTTAGTCTTAGCTATCATGTAACTTGGTCAATTAGGCTTTTAAACATGATTTCTAATCATTTTTCATTGTACCGATCGATTTTCATGAGTATTACTCGAATCTTTCTCCATATGGTTACTTACTTGTTTGGGTATGTTAAGGCTCTCAATTCTCAAACTTCCCGAAACTAAACTTCTTCTATATCTCTCTGAGTAGGTGGAAAATTGAATCTAGTTCTTGGAGCAATACATTTTTTTATGAAAACAAAACTAATATAGGCCGGTCCAAACATGAGCAAAGAGAGCAAAGATCATTCAATGTAGTTGTTTACTTGTTTGGCCATGTTTGGGATCACTTTTCACGACCTTTCGAAAGTGTTTTTTTCTCAAATTTTTTGGATATATCCTAAATTGAGTCTGTTTTCTCGAACATCAAGAAATATTGTGAGAACCTATCTCAAAAGGGGTGAATTGATCAACTTACTAAGCAAGGGTCAATTTGGTGATGTCGCCAATTCAAGTGAACCACCACGTTATCATCCCTACCTCCAGCCCTCTGGAAAATGCGCCATGCTAGTTTTAACTCCTATGAAAATCACCGTTTTTAGTTGATCCAATGGCCATCTTCTCATAGTTTCTCATCAATCTTGTAGTCTTACACACCATGAATCGTTTGGTAAAAGTTTTAGCTTGTTTCGTTTAAATACCAACAAAATAGAGTCAAAATAGGACAGTACAGAATGAACTTACTCAGATCTTCAAGCTCAAGCTGCTTTCGATATGAATGATATAGAGCTTATCTCTCTAATACTTTGTTAGCAAACTTGTTCTTTATCTTCCCTTGAATCTATTGGTATAAGACCCGACACAACTCAAGCTATGAATATGAGTTTAATGGTCAAAGTTTAGAAATTTCATCAACTTTATTGTTCTTGTATTCTAGTGACTTTTACCCTTTCCTTTCTTCACCAAAGTTGCTCTTCTCCTTGCCAAGAAGCTTTAAAAATAAGTTTTAAGGAATGATATTCATGAGGGAGGAGAAATTTCTCCATGTTTAGAAACTTAGGCCGAAATTTACTATAGAAATTGAGGGCCTTCCTTTGATTATTTATCTTCTATATCTCGGTGAAAATCTTCCAATTTGAGCTCAATATCTTCCTAAATTCTAGATTTCTTACCAAGGGGCTTGAATGATGCTTTTATGTTTTGATGTTTCTTGCATTTTCAAGTTTAGTTCTCATCACAAGACTTATAGATCTCCTTCTTATGAACATGAAGAGACCAAAATCAACAATTGTACGGGAGAAAACTCAAACATCTCTCTTTCATCCGGATATCTATTGAGATATTGTCACATCCGATTTTTGAGGATTCGAATTTTAAACCAGGACTAAAAGATGAGACGAAAATAAATAAAAGTAAAAATGAAAACAAAATTACAAAAAATACATAAAGATGTCACACATCACACAACACCATAGTCAAGATAAAAAATTTCAAAACAAAAAAACAATATATAAAAGGTATTGTTCAAGTTATTTACAAATGGGGAACAAGAACATGATACAAAATAAATACAAATGACAACCCACAAAAATATAGTTTAAATTGATGTCCCGGTTTGACACTCCGCTATGACTATGCAGTTTTCAAGCACCTCCCCACCTCGACCCGTACAAGAAAAAGAAAAGAAGGAAGAGTTTAATATTGTTCAATAAGCAATCTACCTGTAGGCTCTCATTGCATTCTTAACCTTGTAAGTAACCATAAACTTTTCTTAGGGTCCTAAGAGTATCAGAACTAGTTTCGAAATTTCCCTAGTCATTCATGTTACCTACTTATGTAGATCCTCCTCCCCTTCAAGGTTGGTTTATTCTGCCTATAATAGTGGTTTTTCATGTCATTTATGTTGAACACAACTCACTGTGGGAAACACTCGCACTCTTTATTAAGACCAATCGAGCAGAGAATACAAGACACTATGTAGAATACTTCTGCTTTTTATTGTTTTTAGATTTCTTGGATGAATAACCTAGGTAGGGTGGAGAGATCTATATTTAACCAATCTAAATCTAGACCTAACCGATTTGAATCTAGACCTAACAAATTTGAATCTTTCTCCTAAAATATCTAGATCTCTTTCTCCTAAAATCTCTACTAAAATAAATATACTGGGCTCGTACAATAATTGGGCTTGACTCTATTGGGCTAGTGATGATATTTCAACACTCCCCCTCAGCACTAGTCCTCATTCGCTGCACCATGTTGAGCTGACAGCGAAAACTCTCATGTTTGCCAGTATTTAGCCCTTTTGTAAACAAGTCTGCCACTTGGTCATCTGTCTTGATTTGCTGCATCTCAATTTCTTTCTTTAGGACCTTCTCTCTAATGAAATGGTAGTGCACCTCCACATGCTTTGTTCTAGCATGAAACACTGGATTTTCTGCAAGGCGAATCGCAGATTGGTTGTCGCAAAGAAGTGATATTGGATAGTCAATTTTCTGGTGCAAATCTTTCATCAAGAGTTTTAGCCATGTACTTTCCTGAGCTGCTCCAGCCGCTGCTCTATACTCTGCTTCTGTAGTTGATAATGACTGTTGGTTGTCTCTTGCTACACCAAGAAATTG